GGCATCCCATCCAGAGCAGGTACAGCTCACTTCATAGGTGCCACAGCACACCTGTGACTATATTAGGTATCAATTAGAAATCAATTACAATCAGCCTTAGATCTCCAAAAGTTGTATAACCTACTACTATGGCAAAGCATTTGTTTGAGGTAATCTATGTGGTTTTTTTTTTTTTTTTTTTTTTTGTGAGGCAGCAGGAAATGTATTCAGAGGATGCAGCATGTGAGGGAGAACCAAATTAAATTAATTTTCTGTGTTGTGATTAAAGAAGAAAGGATGATGGCACGTGCTATTTCAAACAAGCCTCAAGAGCCTGGCATCAGATTGAGTCAAAAAAAATAGAGGTTCACTTCCTTTTAACAATAATACTTACACATGTAGGAATGTAAGACACTAGATGGATCCATTCTGCACACCAGGTTCTGAAGGATCAACTGCAAATAGATTGCTGCTTTATACAAACACTAGAGACAACTCTGCAAATTTATTGTGAGGCAGCAAAAGATACATTCTGCAAATAACACACTGATTGGGCTGGGGAAGGGCCAGATCAACAGAAGGCAATGTAAGCTTAATGAAATGGGTGTCGTATCCAGATCACAACCAAACCTCAAAGGCAGGATGCCAGATCAAAATACAGGCAACACATATATTTCCTCTTAATTATAATAAAAAAACCCTTAACTTGCATAGCAATACAAGATATCAGTGGTCAGTTTTCTCACCCATTTACGAATTAAGGCAGCTGCAAAACTAGTTGGTTTAACTGCTGTCATATAGAATCTAACATCACCTCTACCTCTGCTATCAAACATGAGCAGCCACAATAGTCTGTTATACAATGCTATACGTGTTTAAGAACTGCTCTAAAGCTGACATTGGTGTGATGTCCAGGTAGCACCAATCAGTGATCAACTCTTATTGGTTTGCATTTATAGCCTTGTGGTCCCTAGGACAGTCCTGCACTCACAGTTTTGGGAGCCACTGCAAAAATTTCCATTTTCTCTAACAGCTTTCAAGATGATGCTTCCAGATAACATAGCAAATGTTTTTTATATGCATGTCTAACCATTCATATGCCTTTATTCTAGGTCATCAAATAGCTTACTCTACAAAGGTAGAGTTCAATTAGAAAAAGAAAACAACAAAAAAACCACTGATATGGCAACAGCTTTGGTAACCACTAGTATTGATTACTTCCGGCAATATGACTCATTCATTATCAAAACTGCTCTACCACAGCAGGCAGTAAGCAGATGGAAAGCACCACAACAACCATATTGAAGGGCTTGGCCTTGCCTTTGTGGAGAAGCTGCAGTTTCTGTTGAATAAGCTGCTTCCCAAGTCACCTAGTGCAGGCTGAGGCCAGGAGATAAAAAGAAAATTGCAGGCCAAAAGGCTGGTAAATGCAGGGGCTCATCAGCCAGACAGAAACAGGAGGACATTCTCTGCTTTAAGGATCAGAACAGGACACACTGTCCATAGCAACAGGGACTTGGATTTCTTAACCTTTCAAGGCTCATGTTCTTCTTTGCTTAACAAGGGTTGCAGGAAAACCACTCCTGGCTGTCAGTGCCAACAGTCACAATGAGGCAACAGCGCAAGCAAGGAGAGCATGCACCAGCTCCTGCACAGCACAGGGAGGCTCAGGAGCTATGTCCCACAACCTTCCCACCCTCCATTCTTCCAGAGTAGGGAAAAATATCAGTAACTTTGGTACTTCAGCTTCTAGAAGCCATTGTAAAGCCTGCTGATATCCTAGGTTCTTTCATTTGAAACACCAAGACCCTAGAAGATACTTGGTAAAAATGTACTGACTTACAATCAATACAGAACAAAGAGCAAATTTTTTACTATCAAAAATCATATTCTTTAAGTTATTGCATCAAGATTTTTGCAGTAGTACAAGCACATACCTCAGCCATAATAAAACCTGAATAAACTATATTAGGTATGGTATAATTTATATTTGTGTCCTTATTAAAAGACTACAGCTTCAACTCTCCAAGTTTTCTTGCAGTTCAAAGCCCATCATCAATGAAGACCACAAGCAGACTGACACCGATAGCCTTGGAGCAATGGCTACCTTAGAAAGACAGAAGCCCCCATTTTTACTGTTAAGCGTGATGTATCGTTGAGCACAGGATATCCCTTTGGTCAGCTGGGGTCAGCTGCCCCAACAGTGTTCCCCCCGGCAACCTCTTACCCAACCTCAGCCTACCAATGTGTGTGTGCGGGGGGGATATTCGCCCATTTTGTGCACCATGGCAGCAGCTATGGAGAAAGTTAGCTCCATCCTAGCCAGACCCAGTACAAGGACACATAACACAATATGCATCTGGGGGGATTCAGGACTGAAAAGATTTTGGTGAGCTTTGATGCAAAACACATACCTGAAGCAACCATACTGCTAAGTGTTAGACTACATAAAACTCCACACTGAGCAGTTGCTGGGCAACTTTAGGTACTAGGAGTTTTAATAGGTTTTGATTGGGTTCAGTTGGCTGACTGAAAGAGGACTTCTTCCATGCTGCCTTTGCAGTTTGGAAAGTAAGCATTTGCAAGTAGCTTCAAAGCACTTTCAGGCGTTTCTTCTTGAACCTGCTGTGAAAAGAAATAATACATGGACTATAAACAACTGAGTTACTTTACTTTACCATGCTTTTAGGACATTGTATGGCATCAGTGCTGGATACAGTATGCTAAGCTGAATGATTATCAAAGCCTGACAGCTGAACATCCTCCCCTGTATCTTCTTTGGCCTCAGAAATTGCCCTGAACTTCAGGGGAGCTTATAGAATTTAATCATTTCAGAGAGGGATATTAAACTTGCTCTTCATGCCTTCTCTACAGCAAAAAAAAAACCCTACTAAGCACATTCTTTTTTTTGTTATCAACTAACAATATCTGTTGGACTCTTCTAGTATGATTCCAACACTTTTTGGCGACTGCCACTGCTTTAACTGCTTCCAGTCTTGGCACTGACACTGCATTCATAGCCTGACGACTTCCTGAAAGTAGCATTATAAACTAGCATCTCCCTGATTACTTTCATAATGTATCATCAAGACCCCACCCAACATATCAATCCCAGTAGAAATCCACAGTAGAAATATACTGCAGAAATACTAGTAAGACTCTAATCCTGAGCTCAAAGACTTTGGTACTAACAGCCACGAGTTAAACATCTCCTATAGCTGCAGATAGAATACTTTTCTTTAAAAAAGTGGACAGTGTGTCAGTACTTAAGAGCAAGCCAAGCAGAACTGCATGCACTCACAAACAAGCAGGCATCCCACCAGCCTTATCAAATACTTGCAACCAACATTAGATTGGATTTTAGTGAAATCATTACTAAAGATTAACTTATCTTCAGGCAGATAGGCTTTTAAACTTGAACAAAGAGAGCAGAAAAATGAACTCTCCATAGAAAGTAATTGCTCAGAATCTGAGAGATTGGTGGTGTTGAGATGATGAGATAAATCAGTCCAGGTCTCAGCCCCCAAAACAGTGGTGAAACTCACAGAAGAAGTAAAAAAAAATAGAGAAGTAACATAATTAATTGGAGATCTTTAAAAATGTGAATTGCCAGGAAGATAAAAGAATGTCTACCTTTTCTTTCCACAGCTAGTAACTCTATACAAAGATTTCAGCAGCATGGACTACTAAGAAACAAACCCTGTGTGGATTCACTGAAAGCAACGCGGGCAAACTCAGCCAGCCAGGAATCCAGCTGAGCTGCAGCACCAATGTGCTTCTCAGGCACTCCAGCAATGCACTTCCATTTGATGCATCCATGTGAGGAAAATGGCATCTGAAGGCTGTAGATAAATAGCACACATTCTGCTGAATTAACAGCTGACAGAGCTGTACATAACAGGACTATCAAGAAGAGTGGCTGAGCTTCATTATTCAAATCTGTTGAGTGATTATTTTTTCAACAAATGGGTTCTCGTACAACACTTATGCAGATTTTAATATACTGACATATGAAAACAGCAACTTCAGTTCACTGGAAACAGTTTTCTTTTTAATTTTACCATAAAAAGGCAAAATAAACTCTTTCACGGTAATGTTATAGCTTTTAATATTCCTGAGCTGCATTTTAGAAGCAATAAGTATTCTTAAATGGGTTTAACAAGACACACTGCAGCCTTACTTTCCAACAACAAAAGTAAAAATAATTTAGCAAGAAGGCCCCTTTTTCAAAAGACAATGGCTAGCTCTGTACGTACCTGAAAAAATGCTTCAAGTGGCTCTACACCACCTGAAGTAATTACAAAGCCAAATATGTCAAAAGTAACAGAACAACTTTTCAACCATTTTAGCACTGTTTCTTACTTCCTGCATCAGTGTGCCTCTCTTACATGGAAAGTAGTATTATACAAACGGCATTACATGCCAGAATAATCTGAGCCACAAAGCTTGGCACCAAACAGACACATGAAGGAATCATAGCAGTTTAAAAGATATCCTGCATATCTTTACAGTCAGTTTTAAGAACTATATGAAAGTCCTGCTACCCATCTCAATCAGCAAAAGCTCTACTTTGTTAAATGTGATTTCATTGAATGCACCAGAAAACATTTTAACTCAAATCTGTATGTAATAGCTTGTTATGACTGGAGTTCCTGTAACTGGCACCCATGTACTTCTCAAGCCAAATTAGGTGATACAGAAATAAAAACTAAATCGACTAAAATTAAGGTTTACAAAACTGAAAATAGAGAAAACAGGTTGGCTGTTAGCACTGTAGGAACTTGAGCACGAGCACAGGTGGTTATACCTACGCTGTGGCAGAAACCGAGAAAGAGACAACAAAGCACGAAGGAACATTGGGAAAATCAGGCATCTATTTTCTTGATTTCAGGGACTAGATGCAAGTTAAGCACTGGTTGAAACAAACATGTTCTCTGTAGCAGTCACACCAATGAGGTCTCGTTTACAACTTTCTGGCCCTTTTGTCCGATCACAGCCTTTCCAAGCAGCCAAGGCCTCCACTACCCACTCCAAGTACTCCTTTGCTTGCTCCGTGATCTCCTCCAGTACCTTTGTCTCCTGCTCACACTTCTGCGACTACGACTTCTTTCTCTTCTGTCTCTTTTACGCTCGCTACTGCGAGTTCTTCTGTAATGCGAACGTCTGGAGCTCACGCTTCTTCGACGAGGGCTACGGCTTCGCTGAGGACTGTAACTTCTGCTCGAGCGTCTGTAATATCTCTTTTCTCTCCTGCGCTTTTCATCCTGGTAACTCGCATCTCTTCTGTGTCTGCTCCTCTCTCGTTTACCCTTACTCTCATCGGTGTTTATGCTGCTACATGAACGGCTCTTTCTTCTTCTTGACTCTGTGCTATGTTTGCCCTGCTCACAGTGTGAGTCCTTCCTGTAGGTATTCTGGTCATAGCTAGAGAGGCTTTTCTGCTCCTGGTTACTGGCAGGAACACCTGAACTTCTTTTCTCAGAACACCTCTCAGAGTTTGTGGTATGAAGTTTCTGACCTTCTTTGACATGAACTTTGTCATGAATATTGCCATTCAAGTACTTGCATTGAGTGTTTACACTCTCAGGGGACGTTTCTTCTCGTTGACAGCCAGGAGCCAGTTTGCCTGTAACAGCCTGCCCTGAGGTAGAAGTGATGCAGCTGGATGACACAGTGTGTGGAACACCACTAGGTGTTTTCAGCATGTCAGACTGAGATGCTTCGGTTTCTTCCTTCTGTTGATTAACTGCATCCATTTTCTTGCTCAGGAGATTGTTCAGTAGTTTCTCCCTCAGTTCCTTTTCTTTTCTCTGCAACCCCAGCGCTCTCTCTTTTTCCTCTTCCACACGTTTGAGCTCAGCCTCCTGGAGCTTTCGTCTCTCCTCCAGCTCCTGAAGACGAATCTTTTCTTCATTATGTTCTTGCTCTAAAAGCTTCACGGTCTGAAAGACAGTCAAAGGGAAGGTAAGAGTGACAAAAAAATATTTATAGACCTGTTCAGGTTTCTAAGTTATACCATAATACAAAAGCAGCAATATGGCAAGAAAATAAAATCTAACAAACAGAACTTAACCATCCCAAAATAAAATGGTTGTTTCCCCCTCAAAGGGAAAAAACCCCCAAACCAAACAACCAAAAAAACCCCACTAACACACAACTGTTGTAAGGTGAAAGATGAGTATTAGTCCACAAACTCTTTTTAAGTGCTAACTTCTCCCAGCTGTTTCACAAGGCAAAAACAAAGCTTGGTCTTTATGGCTCCTTAACATGATGAGAGTAACACGCAAACTAGAACAACTTATGAAATCTGAAATATTAAAATACATTTATCAGGGTCAACACTTGAAGGTTTCAGTCAAATTGAAAAACATTAATTTCTCTTAGATTATTACAATCTGTGGTTCATAGATGATTTTGCATAATAAACAGCAAATAATTAAACACACACATATTATGTAGAAACGGATTCTCATTTTGTCAACCACTTTAGAAACTCATGATACTGAAAAAGACGATTTTTTAGTTCTGACCTACACAGTTTAGTGCAGATCTCAAAATTCTGGGACTGAAACACACTGCTCTGTTTTATCAGACAACCTTTCTATTTCACAATTGCAGAGTTAGAAAGCCTGAAAGAATTATTTCTCCCTCCTCCTAGCATATAACTGACCACATAGCACTGTATGAGTTCAAAACCACTCCTGAGGTACATTGGCATTAAGGAAAAAGAAACCTGTGCTTTGCCACATAGTTTTTCATTTCTGTAGAAAATACTTAACATATATTGCATTAGACCCTAACAAGACTTTATCCAAGTCTTAAACAAATGATATCCAGTTTCAGTGAAAAGTAACAATACTGTTAGAGAGACAGGACCTAACATTTGAAATCTGAGCTGACAGTACTTTTCCTACACAGAAATCATTCTGCATATTTTCAAGTATCAAATTATGAAAGCTCATTCTCTGAAACTGCAAAGAACAGTTAACAGAACTGCCAAAAGCCAGAAGGGAAACAGTATCAAAACTGGAATTAGAAATAAGAGTCTTGCATCTTATCCTCTGTGTTTAGTTCAATTTATCATGCTTACACATTCTTTTACTGGACTTAAGAGCAAGCCTGCCAATTAGTTTACAGGTAAAAAATGCTATTCAGGACAACAAGTTCAAGTTCACTTTTTCATTTATCTATATGTGCATATTTTATCAAGGGAGAAATATTGTTTCATTGCACTTTTTTGAATTTTGGTCTAAGGAATAGCACCTGGAGAGGTACTAAATCTGTTTTTTAACAAACAGCACTCCCCACCCTCTCTCAAGTCAGTAAAAGGCTTTGCTCTGCTGGGTTCTTTATTAGCTTCTGAAGTAAATACTGAAGTTACCTTTGCCCGGCTTAGCAGTTCTGCAATTAATCTAATTGACTGAAGATTTCTCTGAGCTAACAGGAGCTTCCTTTCTTCTAACTTTATCTTCTCTTGCAGTTTTTTCTGTTCTTCAGCTTGAAGCTTTTCAAGCTGCTTTTTGTTTCGTCGAACTTCACGATCTTTTTGTTTCTGTTCCCTCCTGCGCAACTTTTCTTCTCTTTTTCTCTCTCTCTCATATTCTTCAAGCTCTCTCTGCTTCCTAAAAAGAGATTAATATTTTTACCTTATCTAGAGTACAATTTTAGACTCCTAGTCTATGTAAAAAGATATTTTGTACTTTGAGTAAATTTGTTTCTAAGTAAGTCTTGTTGATTACTGAAATACAGAAGTAGAAAACAGTGAACATCCTAACAACTGACAGCAAATAACCTTCAGTGTGACAATAAAAACAAGATGGAATCCAAACGGCAACAACAATTTTATTTGTTTTTAAACCAATTCGACCAGATACAATAACAATGCATCAGGCATCTGGGCAGTGAATCATCATAGTGAGAAGAAATTCACCAAGCCAATCAACATGTGCAGGGGTTGGTGGTTTTTATTTCAGTCATTACAACAAAATGGTAGCTTATGTAAAAGGCCAAGGGTTTCCAATATCAGATGTATAATAGCATGATTTTTAGGAAATTGAATATTTTGCAGATTTAATATTTTGAACTGAACATAAGCATTAGTGATAATCTAAATAACCTTACAGTTTCCGAAACCTTTTAATAGCTAAACACTAAGCAATTAGAATTTATACTCATCAAGGGAAATGGACACCATACACCCTCTGAAACTATTTGCTCCATTTGTGTTTATACTCTGAATAGCTGTCTTACGAGGTTTGCACCCTTATATATTTTCTTAAAATGTCACTGTTAAGATATGCTTGTATCCCACCCCTTTCCTGGACAAATACTGATTAAGAACAAATGGGCTTTACAATACCCAAGTTACCTACTACCAGATCTAATGCATTATTTTGTATTCTCCATTTACAACGCACATTTTCCCATCAGAATGACTAGACATCATGTAAGCTGCCAGCTCTTGGAATTACAGTTAAAAAAAAAAAGGTGTAAAATACTCTTCTCTAAATCTTATAATCCCTGAGTTGCATTTCCTTAAAAGGACCACAATATTCTCACTCAGTTTTAGCTGCCTCACTTTAGCTACAGTAGTAGAACTTTGAAAGGAAACTTGTGTTTAGTTATTTTCTATGTATTGATGCTGATATAAAGGAGCAATTACAATTTTGTTATGTCTGATTGTTAAAAATATAACTGAGCAATAAGCAATAAATACCTTTCTTCCTCTTTTTGTTTTTCTTCAGCTTCTTTTTCTTTACGTTTTTGTTCTTCTCTCTGTTTTTCCAGCTCTTGAAGCTTTTGCCGTTCAAGCTGACGCTTCTTAATTGATGCATCACTGAGGTGTTTTGTGGAGTCAAAAGAAACCTTTACAGGATACAATTGAAAACAGTTTTAAGTAGATTTAAAAAAAAAAATCCCGACAACCTACACAATCCCCAACAATTTCAACCTAGCACAAAGACAAACAAACCACAGTGTAAGTAAAATCAGAAATATAGAACCTTTTTCAAAACAAAGTGAACTTCTCTATGAGCCCAGAGCAAGCACCAGAGTACTATAACCGGGTAACTGGGAACTAGGTGCCTGCAGACGAGCACAATCAGGTACTAGTTTACACTTTTGTGCGTGTCTGACATCCAAAAGTAAACCCTAGTGTGGTTTAGGTCCCGGCTGTCCAATGTTTTCAATCTGCCAGAACAGGAACATCCAGAACTCTTTCAGCTCGGGTACGCTATTAGGGACTGTACAGCACTAGGTAGAAATGGGCCTTAAGAAAGGCCTCCCTTTCTGTCTAAAACTGCGAACCTTAAGTTTGGCAGAAGAAACCATTCTGAACACTCAGCACGTGTTTTAAGCAAGTGCCTCCCCACCAATTATAAAACCAGGATTCCCAGACTGAGGTACACTGGGCTGAAGCTCCAAGTTTGAGACTGGGAACACAAGAGAGAAGGAAGTTACGCACTGTAGTGAGCAATGAGACCTGGGAAGACGCTGAGTTTCCAGGACACAGGAGCGTACCTTGGCCATGGCCAGCTGCACGCTGGCACAGGACACCAGCAGACATCACAGCCCGGGTGTCCTAATCTCCCATTCTAGACACCAGAGCCTCTGCAGGTATAATACATTCCTGCAGGCCCATCACCGTGAACCATGATGCAGAGAACAAGGAGCACATACTCTGCAGTCCAATTCCCCCAGGCCCTACATAAAATGACGTTTCACTAACAGGCTAAAAGGACAGACAGCCAGAAACAGACAAGGTGTTGTGACCCTGTACGAAAGGGATCTGTCCTGACAGGACAGTTGCAAACACAGCTCTCTCTCCTTCCTATCAGTCCCCAGGGCAGCTGCCAGGAAGGCCTGCTTCCTCTTGCACAGCCAAACTAAATTTGGGAACCCCGATCCCCTGCATGTAAGCGGCAGCTTGAATTTCACATCCCCTTGGAAACCATGAGGGTCAAGGTACAGTCCCTGTGCTCCAACTGACAAACTCTGATAGCAAGATACAAGATTACAGTATTTTACTACACTGACTAAACTGTAACTTGAATAAATATTTGCATGTTCCCACATTAGACAAAGGAATACTCAAGATTTTTCCTGAAATACACTTTCAGATTAGATTAATGACTACTGAGCGCACTGAAACACATCCGCAAACATTTCATTCAACCAGTATGTAAATGCAGGGACCACATATCAGAGGAAGTCTTCTTCGGGCCATGTTTTCTACAGATACTACATGTGAGACTGCCTGGTTCTCTTCTGCCATAGCTGTATTTTCTAAAACAATAAGGTCACAGAAAAAAAAAAAATCTGTAAAACTCAGTATGTAAATATTATGAATTAAGCATACTGCATTCACAGCAAACTGCTGCAGATTAACATTATTGTTCGTTTTTGTGGGGCCTTTCTGTATGTGAAGCACACTAATGATTAACTGTGTATTCCCCAGGCCTTACAGGCCACATGCTATTAAACTTCACAGCTCTGACACTTGTCTGGGTAGACCTCACTATCAACGCAGGGACCAAATACAGAGGCTGTGAAATTCTCTCCCAAAATTTCTACTTGTAGTGAACACAGAGAGAAAAATGCCCTTTAATGTCAGCCTTTTGGTGAAATATGTTCGAATTTGTGCAGAATTATTTTTTTTTTTAAGTTAAATGTTAAGATTTATAAATAACATTACTTTCTAAAAAACATTTAGCAGGTCACGTTCATACACTTAGTTGTTCCATTGAGCAATTCTCATTTCTAGGACTGGTTTGTTAAAAAAAGCAAAACCCCACCCACTTCGTTCCCGTAGCCTATCAGCACATTTTTCTTCTATCGTTTTCCTTTTAAAGTTCTATTACAGCTGTTCCACAGAACAACCTTACTGCTTTCAATGTCACCTGTTGTCATCACGACAGTACAGAGAGATAGGTTTTAGGTGCTAGGGAAATAACATTGAGTCGTATGTGTCTTTTACGCAGGTTCCCATAAAGAAGCCCCCAGTTTCTCACCTTTATATTGCAAGCTACGGCTTTGCCATCATCGCCTTTATACATCAGCTTCATCCCTCGCAGGGCGTTCATGGCCTTAATGAAACCCGCGTACTCCCGATACTGAACATAAGCTTCAAAATTTAAATGGCCTCCAAAACTGAAAGTGTGAAAATTTCTGCCAGTCATTTCTTCTCTGTAAGGGTCCAGCATGGGTATGTCCACATTACGAATTTCTCCAAATTTCTTGAAAACTTTTATAAGGACTTCTTCACTTGGCTTTTCCGAGCCAGAGTCCTTTGCTGCAAACCACTTACAAGGTAAGCCCTCCAAGTGAATAGTATCTGGCCTCTCCCCCGGCAAAGTCTCATTCATATCTTTCGCATCTCGGAAAAACGAGTCCCAGTCGTGTCTGGTAGGAAAGTCAATCTTATACTCTGCAGCACGGACTTTTAAAATGTCAGAGAAGCCGCTCAGCTTTATTGTTTTGCCATCAAGGCATGCCAGAAAAGATTTAACCAAACTTTTGTTTTCAACCTCTCCTTCAAAGCGGATGAAATCCATCGTGCTTTTAGAAATCCGCAAAGTAGAAAACTGATGAGTTTGCACCATCCCTTTCAATCTTTCCATCACTTCCCAGTTCGAAATGGATTTTCCCGGTTGTTTCAGCTGAGGAAGTGCCACACTGATGGTCATTTTTGTAATGGGTTTAAGGTATAACCCACAGGGAGCACAGAGCTCTACAGCTTCTGATGTATCATGAACTATTGTTGCGTCCCCCCAGCCATAACACAGAAAAAGCATAGGATAAAAAAAAAATAAAAGATGCAAGTTTAAGTTGCAGGCCAACAGTAGTCAAATAAAATAGCCCTTATCCATAAATAATTTAATTTTTTGGCCGTTTAACCATTCTCAAGTTAAAACAACGTCTCTTAATACAAGAGTCAGTTAGAGAGTTAAAACTGAGCAGTACAAACATCTTAAATTACTTTATAACCACTAGAGCCTATAAGTAATTAAATCTCAGTAAGGCCTCAGAAAAAAACCAAGCAGCTGATGACAATCTTAGGGACACATGAAGGTGGTATGTGATGGCTCAGAAAGCAGCTACCCTTTTGACGGAAGGAAGGGACAGGCGGGGCGATGTCACACCGCTCTGAGGTCTATTTAACGAGCAGTAAGTCCCAACAGGCCACGCCGAGGCGGATCCCACGTTCCGCAGCAGAAGGACTCGGAAGGTGCCTGCGACGAGAGAAAAACACCCTGTTGCGTTTAAAAGCCAGGAGCCCCACCGCCCTCCGTCCCACC